CCCTGTCCCGAGCCCCGTGTCCCGGACGCTTCCAGCGGGGTCTCCCTGGCTCCTGCGACCGCGCTGTCCGGTGCCGTGGCACTGGCTCCGCTGCGAGCCCTCGGCCGGTACCGGGCCCTGCGGGGCAGGTTGCGGGCTCCGGGCGCGGTGTCAGCCCCGTCTCCTGCTGCATGTGCCTCGTCCTCGCTGCTGCTGGTGCTATTTGCCATTTCCCTCCCTCCCAGTGCACGAGTGAGAAGATGCAGAGAGGTAGAGCCATTCTTAGAAGTCAGTATAGGGTTCAAACCCTGAATTGGATCGTTTCTTTTTCACCCACCCTCATATCGGCTGGGCTTCTGTTAATTCGTGAGGGTGCAGTGCGGTATTGCTGCCGTTCCTGCCTTCCGTGGAGTTCTGTGTTTATCAGTAGCATATTAGAAAAAAAACCCCAACACAAAACAGAGAGGAGAAGGGATGAACTTTGTAACTTAGGCAGCAGCAGCTCGGGTTGGGCTGAGGAGTGATCTGGGAACATCCCTCCAACATGAGGCTTTATCTTGTTGCTTAGAACTGACTGGGAGAGACTTGGGTATATCCACGTGTTTAGGAGGAAAAACATGCTGAATGAAACACAGCCTGGCTCCTTTGTTGGTGTGTTTCTGCTGTATCTGGAGCACGGTAGCACTCTCTGAACGGTAAGCTTCTTGGGAGGTAGTCCTATCGAATTGTGCCTTTTGAGTCTTGGCAGTTGCCTTTTCATGGCTTCGTTGGGTTGTTTTGGGGTCAGACAATTCAAGGCTCCTTTTTTTTTTTTTTTCCCTTTCTCTCCTCCCTCTTGTGTTAGCAGAAGAAAATGCTTCCCTGCCATCACTTAGAGTATTTTGAAACATAAATTGATATAGAACGGGGTTTTGCCTGCAGTTTTCCAGGAGTAGCTGTCAGTCATTCTGTCCTTAAATGAACACACATGCGGAATTAGCAACCTTCTCATGCAAATCAAAGCATATTTAAAAACCATGTAAATGCTACCATTTGCTATGGAGTGATGTAAGTTCATTAGATTTTCTGTGAATTAAGCCTGGTTAATGAGTGAGAGCATCTATAAAGGGATTTAAATGTGCTTTACTTTGATGTTCACAATTTTAGTTTGAACTGCTATCTAAAACCCTATCTGTGCAGTCCCAGTCACAACTGCAGTGTTACTTCATGTGGAACCCTGAAAAGAACAAATTTCCTTGCCTCTCGCCCTGAGCAGCGTGG